AGGAAATGATGATGTTTCTGACTTGGGGAAGCCACCTGCAGGTTGTCCCCAAGGATGGTCACCATACAGAGTGGGGTCAGGATGGAACACTGTGAGGATCTGGGGTCACCAGGGACCTGCCTGCCTGCAGGGCTCCATGTACTCTGGGCTGTCACAGTGCTGCTGGCTATCTTGGCTCATTGTGACACTGGAAGTAAAGGGTGAATCTGTCCTTCTTGTTGCCTTCCAGGAAGGTACCAGGAGCCACCAAGGCCCTTGATAGTACAGTCACATCTGTGTGTGGAAGAAGTGAGGTATCCTGCAGCAGACGTTGATTTTTAAGGCTTAGACTTAACTCTCTTCATCTGGCCTACTTTTCAGAATCACACGGACCTCTGCAGACCAAGGCAGTGGTCATCCTTTATGGGATGCACCTTTTGTTTCATCAAAACAAATGAAAATAAAACTATAACTGATTTATTTTAACTGATTACTATTGTAACTGATTCCTTGACAAACATTGCCCCCGTCCAAGCACATTCTGAATGGAAGCCATAGGGACCTGTGTTACTTTCATCACATGTGGTGCTGACAGACTACAGTGTCCATGCAGTTGTCCCTGGGAATACTATGCAGTGTGTGAGTCCGTAGCACTGGCTCACGGTGGCTGTCTTCGGCCAGCTGGGCACAGGGGACTCCCTGCCTCAAAGTGCCTGTGTTCAAATGCTTTGCTGCACTCAAAGTTCCTGCAGCTGGGGTGTTTTGTGTCTGTGGGGCTGGACTTTGTCATGTGCCATTTGAGACTGGGAGGCTGATGTCATACTTTATCATTAGCACTTGGGCTGATGCAAGACCATAAATTATCGATTACCCCAAGGAATGCCTTTAGCAGACCCAGTTCCTCTCTGTTTTAGGGAAGGTCTCACTGGAGAGACTTCAGAACACCAAGATTAGTTGTTTCCCTCTTTTCCCAGAAGTATGAGTACTGAGATCTGATCATGGATATCTTTGCAAAGGGGTATGGGGCTCTGGTTCTTTGTGAGCCTTCATTCCTGATTTTTAGAATAATATTTTTGTGTCCATTATATAAATAAAAACTCATGGCACACAATTGAATGCAAAATTCCCTTCTGTATGTGCTGTCTCGTTCCGCTGAAAATGATTGGAATATTGAATTGCTTTCCCACTATGTAAAATAATTATGCCTGCTAATGGGCATCGATGTAACTTTTGTTTTTAAAATGCCCAGTGGCTATTCTTTCCTACAATCTTTTCTCTTTTTTTTGTATGTGTGTGTGTAGTCATGAAGGGCTTTTCTATAGAGAAAAGCTATCTCTCATTAGCAACAGCTTTTTTTTTTTTGCAGGTTACCATGAGTTGTTTTCCCCATGTTCTGTGAGCTCACAGGGAGGGTGTGCCTTACTAGGGTGAAAGTACTCAAGAGTGGGGGCACAGTGCATCGTTTGTACCATTGGATTGTGTGTGCACAGCTTTTTTTTTTTTTTTTTTTGCCTACCTACTCTCTGGGGAGGAGAGACCACGCCTTTTTATCAAAGGAACCTGGCTGGTTTCCCATTCAGTAAAGCTGGAAGGCTGAGCTCCCCTCCCACTCAGTCAGTGTCTCTGAGCCCTTGATGAAAGCTGAGCACAAAGTCAGGTCTGGTCCTGTCTGGCTACATGTGACAGAATTGCTGTAGAACTCCTTCTGTGTCCCCAGAAGGTGTGGTCTCTGATCAGGAACATGCCACTCCTTGGCCGTAAGAAATTAGCACCAGAACTGGACAAGATGAGATGTAACTGAGAAATAGAAGACATTGCCACAAATCTCCCTTGAAATCCTCCCTTCACTTCCAGCACATCCATCCCTGATCACTTTCTAGAGTAGCTCTGGAATCCTCTTTGCTCAGTGTCCTAAGTTATGCTGTCATTGTTGCTTCAATGCCCTGAATTGACTCACAGTTTTTATCTTTTGTGTTCAGTTTTACTGAGGGAAAGAGCAAGAAGTCATGTGGTGCCAGAGTAGGTGGGACACAGCATCATGTTTTTTTTGAACCTGCCTTTCTGTTGGACAGCACTTGGCAGCAGCACTAACCATATTTTTGACCATGTGTCGTAAAGACACTTGGGCAAGAGGCCTTTCAGAGCTGCTCCAGAATAGGCAAGATCGATGGGATAAGTGTGGTCAAAGCCATGGGAAAGTCTTTTGTTATTTTGGCAGAGAATAATAGCAATGTGTCTTTTTATGTGATAAGTTTTTAAAAGTTAAGCATTTGCTGTGTATTTTGAGTGCACCTTGGGTTTTTTTGGAAAGCAGGCTGGGAGGAGGAGTCCCTGAGCACATGGGTGGACGTGACCCTTGGATAGACAGGTGAGAGCCTGGATAGAAATGGATGTGAGCAAGGGAAGATGACAAGGTCCTCCTTTAGGGACAATAACTGATCAAGTCAGACCACCATGGTTGATAAGTGTGGGGAGCTGGAGACAGTGGTCTTGGTCTTCTTCCATGGCAAGTATAGATCTGACACCTATGAGCCAGTGTTTGAGAAAAATATAAACAAGTTTAAATATTCTCTAATATAGTGCTTCCTCCTTGGAGTCTTCTGTACACAACTGCTGTTCCAGGGGGCACTCACTGCAGGATATTCTTTTAAAGCATTGATGGAATTCCCCCCACTCACCTAGTGCTAGGGCTGGAACCGAGGCCTTGTGCATGTGTGCAACTCTTTATGGGGCCCTACGAGTCACAGCTGGTCCCACGGTGGCCTCTTGCATGTGTGATCTTCCTTTCATACCCTAGGCTGTTGGCCAGCTCTCATCCCAGTTGGGAGGTTTTGTAAAGCAGGGAGAGCTGGAGTTTCAGAGGTGTATTTCATCTCTGAATAATCAATCAGAGGTGATGGCACTATCCCCAGAGCATCTGAATAGCATGAGGTCACAGTGGAAGGCACTGGATTAGAGGAGTCGGGCAGCGGCAGAATTGGAGTTTGTGCCAGTAGAGACTGGAGAGGTTGGTACAGAACTGGCTGGGCATTGCTGGGCATTGATAACCTGGGGCCCCGAGCCAAGGACTCCTCACTCATCCACTCTTGCTTTCTGCTACCAGCTTGCAGAAGGCACTGAAAGGCAGATGGTTTTGAAGTGCATGGTCAGTTGTGTGCTCTCTCTGTGTGTGGAAGGAAGTGAAGTCTGCAGCCTGATGTCTGCCTGGCTCTGTTGTCTTGGGCAAATCATTCAGCTTCCCGCAAACACTGCCGTCCTCCACCTAAGTGGAGACAGCAGCACCTCTGGGAGAAGAGCAGCAACAGGAATGATCTGCATGAAGCCCTGAGCTCCGTGAACACCCCAGCCATGTGACAAAGCCACACTACTAGCATCAAAGAGAACATACTATGGCCGTGACTCATCCACATGGCTGACACTGACAAAGGTTCTACAATCTGAGGTACAGGATCTCAGGATAAATCCTGAGGGGATTTCACTGACCTTAGCAGACCCAAAAGCTACAACTCTTGTTACATAGGTCCTGCTTTATCTTGGTCTTAACCATCCAGCAGAAAAGTATAAAAACGAAGAATAAGAAGTAAAGCCATGCTGTTACATTGAGCTGTAAGGGACTCAGGTCAACAATTTCTGACATTGCCAGTCAAGCAGAAGACCCAATATTATTATGGGCTACTGGACTCTTAGAATATTTTGCTGAGTTTATACACCTATAATATTCAAATAACGGAACTTAACAAAAAAAGGGGATACAGATGAACGTCCATTTTGTATCTGTGTATTCAAAGTGGTTAGGATAGATATATAGTTACATTCTCTTAATGAATAGAGGGATTTGTTCTAATGGTGTTTGTAGATAGAATATCATGTCCGCTTCTTGTACAGCAATTAACCTAGAGAGAATGTATGCAATGGGTTAATTATTGAAACTGTCCTACCAACTTGGTTTGAAACTGTCTCATTGCTATTTGTTTCTCAATAAAATTATGAAAAAAAATAAAGAAAATATACTGGACCATAAGTATGGGGACAACCGAGATGGTGGAGGCACAGCAGGCCCACGTGGTGGGGCACGCCCATGATCCTAGCTCTCTGGGAGGCTGAGGCAGGTGGACCACCAGTTCCAGCTCAGCCTCAGCAATTATAGTGAGACGTGCCTCAAAAATTATGAAAATAAAGAAGGACTGGGGATCTAAATCAGTGTAAAGACCCTAGATTCAATGCTTAGTACTACAAAAATAAACCCAAAACAACCACCACCACCACAACAAAAAAACCAAACAAAAAACAGCAGAGCAATGAAATAGGATGAGGAATAAAGGTCAGAAGCCGGGGACCAGGGAGATGGCTCAGTGGAATAAGTCCTCCCCTGGCAAGTGCAAGGGCCTGAGTTCAATCCCTAGTTCTGCCAAAAAAAAAAAAAAAAAAAAGTCAGAAGCCAAATCAAATTCACTAGGCAAAAGTAATACAGATCTGGAACGTTGTTACACATGAAGTAGCAGGAAACAATGTAAGAATATCCTGGACAGGGAACAGGGAACACTGAATTTACTGAAGAATGTACAAAAAAGAAGAAAATGCTAAATGTGGAAAAATACGATAAAACAGAGTTTAGGAGCCAGGCTTACCACACAGCACAAAGCCTGGTTCTCTACCCTTGGCCCCAGTAGGGAGGGACAGGGGATGGGGACAACATCATTGAAGCTGTGATCCTTGGGACAGCCTGGGGTTTGATGTCCCCATTTCTTGTCCTTTGTCTGTCATGAACATTGCTGCCCTCACACCGACAGATGTGCTGCTGTGTGTCCTCCACTGGAATGGCTTATGCCCGGTCTGGATGTGGCTTGCTTCCCTCCCCTCACAGGTGTTCCCCAGTACCCAGCCCTGTCACTGTAAATCCAGATCCCTTTCTTCCATTCCAGTGCTAGCTGATGGTGGGAGGGTACTGTTGTTCTGGTTCTTAAATGGGGGACAGAGAGAAGGCAGCAACGAGTTCTGAGCTGCAGGCTTTCTGTTGGCAGGGTGGAAGACCACGATGACCTCATGCCGATATTTATGCAGCACGGCACCATCCTGAAGGATACGTATGGCGAGTACTTCCTGGCTGAGCTGATCGAGGCCCAGGATGAAGAGAATCATGCCGTCGTGTGTGAGGTTGGTGATTGAATTGCATCCCCTGGGGATGCGATTGGTGAGAGGGACTGAATCCCTGGTGCCTGGCTCCCGGCTCTGGTGCTGGTCCCTCTGTCATTAGGCTTTCAGATGTCCCCCCAGGTCACTGCCACCCCACCGTACCCAGAGGACTGGGCTTTGGGCTTCATTGTCTGGGTGCCCAGGCTGCTTGGCAGGTTTTGCTGAATCCCTAGCAGTAGGGGCTAGAGTTGGGGGATAGGTAGAGGACATTTAGGGATGGTTTCTGAGAGTCCCAAGAGGTCAGAGATCGGAAGTTGCAAATCAACATTCCGCTGGCAGATGAACGTCATTTGACTTGGAAAGTGATTTTTTTTTTTTTAAACACTGTGTTGATAGTTTCATACTTGTGGAAAATTTAGAAGTACCTAGATTCCCTGAATGCTTGCTTCCTACCCTGTTTGGTCATTCTCTTACTCTCCCTGATTTATCTGGAATAAGCATACTGTAATTAATTGGAGAGCCATTTTTTATTATTTTTTGGAGGGCCATTTGAGAGTCACTGACAGCATTCACATTTACTTCTGAATAAGTATAATGATCCAAGTTGAGCACTTATGGCTCCTACCATCCTGATGTCTCATCTGCAGATCTTATGCATAGTCCCAACAGTGTCACTTGTGGCCAAAGTAAGACCAGGTCATTCACTGCATTCAGGTGCCGTGTCTCTCTGGTGCCTTTTTTTTTTTTTAAAGGAGGGCAAGTTTATTTATTTATTTAGTTTTATGCATGCATGTTTTAAGGCAGGCACCATGCCTCTGAGCTATATCCCCAGTCCTTGCATACATGTTTTCAGTACAGGATGTTTACATTCATATCCAGACAACTTCCTGGTCTGTCACAAAAAATCAAAACAGATGTCAGGAAAGGAGAAGGGAGACTATTATTAGACAAGAGGAAGGGAAACCTATGAGATTGTAACTGGGGGATGGATAGGACTGGAATGTGGTGTGAAAATACCACATGAACCCAATGTTTTGTGAAACTTATAGTGCTAATAAAATATATTAGCACTGAAGATGGTGAAATAGAAATATTTGTGGGATCTTCTCAGTGGTAGGAAGGAAATGTCTGAAAAACAATTGAGACTTTTGGACCCTCAGAACCATTATGGAGTATGTAGGGATTGGTCCACATTACAAATGTTAGGGCCATGAGGCATGGGATCTTCTCTTCCCTCCCTCTCCCCCCCTTCTTCCTTCCTTCCTTCTTTTCAAACCAGAGATTAAACAACATAAGCAATGTGAGGTTTCCTATGACATCAGGGCTTCTCAAACTTGGAGCGTACAAGAGTTACCTGGGAGGCTTTAAGATGCCCCCATGCCAAGGACCTTGGGTGCAGGATGAACAGAGAACTCTTATAGCAATAAAGAGACCAGTAATCTAAACAAAATATATGGGAACAATTTGAAGAGATATTTCACTAAAAGAAGATAAATCATCAATAAGCACATGAAGGAATATCATTTGTTACCGTAAGATGTCAAGATCATTAGTCATCATGCAAATGCAAATCAAAGCTCCAGTGAGATACCACTTTACTTGCACTAGATCCAGTATAAGAAAAAAAGACAAGGGTTGGCCAATTAGCTCAGCAGATTAATCCCCCGTCCTCCTGGCCTGCCGGGCAAGCCCCACCCCCGGGGTGTGCTGAGACAGTGATTCAGACTGGGTGTGGTGGCACGCACCTGTAATCCCAGCACTTGGGAGGCTGTAAACAGGAGAATCACTACAAGTCTGATCTAGTAGTGAGACCCTGAATACCCTGTCGACCCTTCCCTAAAAAAAGAAAAAAAGACAAGAACAAAGCATGGGCAAGGATGTGCTGGAATCGGAACCTTTGACCCATGTCTGGTGGGATTATAAAATGGTGCAGCCACCTTAGGAAACAGTGTGGCCCTTCCATCAGAAGTGGCACACAGAGTTACCTTTCAGCTGAACCATCCTTCACTGAGAACTGACAACATGTTTCCACACAGCAACATTATTCACAATGTCCAAAAAGGGGAACAAGCCCAAATGTCCACCAACTGAAGGATGGCTAGACAAAAGATGATCTATCCCTTCCATGGCATATTATTAGGAAATAAAAGGAAATGGGGCAGGATGTATGCTATGACAGTGTTTGAATACTGAAAACATTACACTAAGGGAAAGAATCCAGACAGAAAGACCACAGATTGCACTATGATCAAGCCAACTAAATCAACTTTTTGGAGTGAAACATAATCAGGATTTTTTAAAATAGTATTTATGCATTGAGATGATGTCTCACTGTGTAACTGAGGCTGCTCCAGCCCAGGGCTCAGCAACCCTCCTGCCCCAGCCCCCCTCCCCATGTCTGGGAGGACAGGTGTGCCAAGATGCCCTGTGCAGCCAGAGGATTTTCAGAGTTCGCCAGTTGTCCCAGGTGCAGTGCGGTGTGGTGCAGGTGCTCACCACCATGTGGGCAGAGCACAGCATCTGGTGAGGGGCGAGGTGAATCTAGGCCGAAGTAGGCATTGGTTGATGAAGGCGAGGCTGCTCTGACTATAAGCACCGGAGTCACAGGTCAGTGCACTAAAGGATTTTTGTTTTCTTTTTAGCATGTTTATCTCTTCATGTTTAGGTCTTTGCCTGTAAGTGGAGACTCACTTTCTTGCCTTCTCATTCAGCCTTGAGCTCCAAGCCAGCATGAAGGGGAGGTCAGGAAGTGACAGTTTTGAAAAGCCAGGTCTGACAGCTGGACGGAGCTCCTAGGACTGGGCCCTGTGGACCGCACTGCAGGTTCTCCTTCATCTCGGCCTCACTCACCTCTGCCTGTAGAAGGCTTTCCCTCCCTGAAATTCCTGAAATTTCCCTCCCTGCCTATTTTTCCAGGGCACCCCGGCGTGCGCTTGGCAGGGCTGCCATGCCCATTCCCTCTCGTCCTTTCTCTCTTGCTGTTTGTTTTTCTTCTCTAGCCTGTGTCCAGTCTGAGAAATCTGTCAGGTCAGAATCTCCAGGCCCAACTCAGTGGTGCTCCTTCTCCCTCTCTTAAGAGGCAGAGAGAGTCCTGCCCAGACTCTGCTGAGGTCCAGGCCACCCCAGTGTCAGAGGCTTTAGGTTAGGGCAGGGCTGGGATGAGACCCAGGACCTGGGAGGGGGTCTCTAGTCTGAATCCAGCCCTCTCTAGTGCCAGAAGCCCCTGGGAGTTCAAGATCAGCTCTGCTCCATCCCTGCCAGCTGCCTCCCTGTTCCCTGTCCCTCAGGGCCAGGTAGAGATGCTGAGTCTGGCTCACTCTGGTTCCATGAAGTTAAATGCTGGGGAACCTTTAAGCTGCTTGTTAAATGCAGCCTTTATTAAAAACTTAGATAAACTTATACAGTGCAATAAACCACATTTGAAAAGTTGCCAAATGCATGCAGTTAGTGTATTCTTGCAGTTAGTGTGTTCTTGTCCGTGCTCTTGAGCGTTTCTGTCCATGGTCTATGTTTTGTGGAGGTGATATTCAAGGGTGTGCCAGTGTGCGTCTCTTCCCTGCTCTGTGTTGAGCGACATCACACTGGAGCTTGGAGCTGGCTGTGAGGAGCATGTTTGTAAAGTAGGAATTGGCAAGTGCTACACATCCGGACTCCCCCTCTAATGCTGCTCACACATTTTCTGGCACACCATGCTTTCAATCAGACATCAATGGGCAGAGAGGATGGAACAAAGCACCCCTGTCTCTCTCTTTCCTAACCAGCCCACAGCCCAATGGATCACACTCGTGAAGTAGGTAACTGTTGTCTAAAGGAAGGGTCTTGGATGCAAGGACTCTGCCGGGAGGGCTACTTGGGCGGACCTCGCTGCAGGATCCTTGTTCTGACCATACCCTGGCTTACCTAGACATCTGGTGTTTACTCCAGGCAGAGATTTTAGGGTTGGGCAGTGGGAGGCCAAGGGTGGCTCCTAGAAACAGATGGGCAGAGCGTCTGCTTTGGCACCATCCAGGGCATGGGCAGCCGTGGTCCGAGTAAGCACCACTGACCTGCAGGCGGCAGAGAGCCTGCCAGGTCAGCATGTGCTTGGCATCAGGAGGACAGAATCACAGCCAGCAGTGGCCACATTGAGGACAAAACCCCCATTGTGTACTCTTGTCACCTACAAGGGATTGGTGGCTACCATTGGTTTATGGGAGAAGGGGATGAAAATGTAAATAATAAAGTACACTTTAAAGATAAAGCCAGTGCACACATGCTTTCCCAGCCATCTAAACTTTCTAGAGCCTCACAGGACCAGAAAGAGCAAGAACAGAACTGGAAGTTTTGTCCTCCAGTGGAAGATAACTGAGGATGCTTTTATGGTAGAAAATCCTCTGTTATCTGGGAGACAAGTAACAGCCAGCAACCAGTGCCATCTCACTGGGTAAGCATGAACGTCCATGAATCCATTTACCTTTCCAGAAAACACACAGGACATAAAGGTGCATTTGGATACTCCCTCCTAGCTAAAACAGCATTTCTCATGACAGTCATCTTAAAGGAACCCTGAGCGAGGGGCAACCACGTCCGCCTTGCATCCCTGCTCTGTTGTCACCTCTGATCGTGAACTTGGGTGCATTGTTACAACGCTGGATGAATGATGGGACCATAACAGGTTGCAGAATTGGAAAGCACTAAATCTTTGTTCCTAATGGCAAAACATGTTTCTCTCATTTTCATCAGAATGTGTGATCCATGCCATTTGAAATCAAATTCCAAACACAATGAGCCATTAGTGTAATAGCTCATTACTAACAGCGGTCTTATAAATAATACATTCTTATCATGCACACACAGCTCGCCGTGAAGCTGGCGAAAGGTATTTCAGGCCATGGAAGTGTCCCCGCGCCAGCGCGGCTGTGGATTAGCAGGACATCTCCATGTGAACCAAGATGGATGCCAATTTTCCCTGCCGGGACTGAGGCTGGCCGTCTCTTTCTGCACATATGGTAGATGGATCGGTTAATCAGCATCTGCTGAGTCTTGGGCCTAAAATTACAGAGAAGCCAGACAACTGCGGCTCCACAGCCTTTGTTCACCAGTGCAAACAAGACAAACAATCACTTGTTATTTGGGGAAAAAATTAAAATGTTTATTTTGGACTTTCATTAAAGTGTCAATGGCTTTACAAAACAGCTGTGTAAATCCAGCTTTTACAGCAAGTATCATTTTGGGGGGTTCCTATGAAGAAAAGAATATAGAATATGGAAAAATTAATTTCTAAAAATTCCTCTTGGTTTTCAATAGTGGAGAAAAAATAAAGAACACCTCACATCTATTTTCCAAACACAAGCTTCAGAACAAACAGCTTTTCATTTGAAGACCTTTTCATTGGAGAACAAGCAATTTACTATTTAAATTCTTTTCTTTGTCCTCTAAAAGATTAAGCATTCATAAGGCTTGATTTTTCTCTTTCAGGATATTAAAACATTGGCTACTCAAAAAAACAACAACAACAACAAAAAAAAAAACATTGGCTACTTGCTTTGGGGTAGGGAAATCTATAGTTACAGAGTTTTACTCTCTGAATGGGAGGGTCTCTCAAGAAGTAAAAGTGAAATACTTGAAGGGTGGGACACAGCACATGCTGGTTTCTGTAAGAATAGACAAAGTAAAAGGTAACAGGAAAGAGTGAGATAGTTCTCTTGGAAAGAGGGAGGGACCAAGAGCCGGGGGGAGCGGAAGGAGAAGGAAAGGGGGCATAAAATTTCACATGGTCGTGGAAACATACAAGGACCCACAAGCAATGCAATTTTTGTATGGCACTAACATGAATTAAATAATAACAATAATGAAAATTGAGAAAGGCGACAAAGAGTTGGGGAGGGAGGGGAGTTGGGAGGGAAAGAGGAATAAAAAGAATCAAGAAATGTTAAGTACATGCACCCACTCCCTAAGATGAATGTAATCACCTTGTACTCCAAAAATGTACCCAGCAAAAAAAGTTAAAAAAAAAAAAGAATAGTCAGAGGCTAATCAGCCAACTAGAATTTGCTTAATAAGCAGTGGGAATTTCATGTGTGAAATATAAACATTTTTTTCTCTTTTTAATCATTTTCCTTGCAAAGAAGATAGGGAACACAAATTATTAGAAGGGCATAATGAGGGCCTACTAAGTCACAGTCATCTGTCAATATAGAACATGGTAGAATTAAGGGCTTTCATTAATTTGTAATATTTTAGAACCAGTAATAGGTCCAGATCGCCCCATTGTTCCACTTCCCTCCCATTTGTGGACTCCTCCTTACAGACCCAGATCATGGGGCCATTGGAAGAATGATTCCCTGTGTGTGGTGGAGGGGAGTCCGGGAGGACTGGGTCTATGGTGGGATACAAAGAAAAAGGAGGAGGCAGGTGACATTGGTCAGGTGGGGCTTTGGTTAAAGACAAAGGCAAGTGTTAAGTTCTAACAGCTTCTCCTCAAGAACTCTCAGATAGTGCCCCTAAGTTCTTTACCCACCTCTACGGTGGCCCACAGGGTCATCTGGATGTGCCTGAAGACGTTGCCTCTGCCATGCCTAGTGCTACACACCAGCTCCTGCCCCCCCCGGAGGCTGTGTGGTGGTATCATGGTGAGGACAGTGTGCTGCAGTAACCAGGCTCTTGGGTGTCCCAGGTGGAAGGCATAGCTGTTGGCTTCATGAGCGTGTGCTCCAGAGTGAACCTGCAGCTGCTGCATGAGTGCTTCGACCTGGGGCCTTTCCATGGATTCTGCGTCCCACATCCCGATGATGTCCTGGAGCCACCTGAAGCATCCAGAAGCGTAGGTATGGTGCTACTCCAGGGACCTTTTGGGAAGTAAGTCCATGCCTTATATACTCAGTGCTGTTGGCCATGGGATAGAGCCAGATAGGGCGTTTTCTGTCTCTGTCTCCAAGGTCCCTTACAGACCAATTCCCAGAGTTAATCTCACCTTATGCAAAATGCCTGTGGGTTCAGATAGTTCACAGAAAAGACCTATGTGGCCAGACATGGTGGCCTTACAGCAAAGGCTGTCGCAGTGCTGTCAGAGTAAGTACAAGTTACAGTGAACACTGCCAGCATTTCAGGGTTTTACACTCACATGCACATACACAAAGCCAAAGTCTAACAAGTGAAGTGTTTAAGTCAAGACTTCAAGGAACTGGGGATGTAGGTCCATGGTGAAGCACATGCCCAGCATGCATAAGGACCTGTGTTCCATCCCCAGCACCATGAACAGACAAAAAAAAACCCAAAATACAAACTTTCCACTGGTAAGTGCTTCATAGTTATGTCTTTGATAAAACCTTATATAGGTCTACTGCAGATAGTCATTTTTAACTTCCTAGCTTATACCTGTATGAAATAGCAAAATCGGTCTTGAAATATTGTCTGTATTAGGGTTCTCAAATGAAAGAGGTTGGGCACTGATGGCCAGCATGGTGTTTCTGTGTCTGTGCTTGGGTCCCTTGGCAGACAGATGTGGACAGGCAGGGGACTTTGGATGTGCTTCTCTGTTGCTGTAAACCTGGGTGTCTTCATGTCTAAAGTGGAGGTAAAGGTAATGTCTCCCTGACAGGCCAGTTGTGACATTTCACAAGGCATGCAGAGTGCCTCACACGGTGCCTCAGTTAGTACGCAGTGACTGCTGAGTGCTTCGGCCAAGCTGTTCTTTCCTTGTGATTGGCCATTCACTTCCTCAGGTCTCTCCAGGGGAAAAGCTCTGCTTTCGTCTGTCTGAAAGATTATATCAATATTATTCAAAAATAGGAAGAGGAATACTTAGGTTGGTGGCAAACAGACTGGCAATGTAGACAAGAGTGGGTGGCGATTTGGCTGACTGTCCCTTGAAGGGAAAGCCAAGTGCAGGGTGTACAGCCTCGTCCGACTGTACACACCCATCTCACCATGGACTTGATGAAGCCATGGCTAGACAGGCATTTGTTTCCCTCATACAGACATCAACACCCTTCCTCATAGAGAGGCTTGAGTTCATTGCTTTTCCACAGTGAAGTCTGCTGCTCTCCGCTGCTTAGGAAGACACCCCAGAAGTGTGATGAAGAAACTTTGACCTTGAGAAGCCCTGCACCATGAGCTCCCCTGTCATTTTCTGATGCTTGTATTCTTCTCCAAAGATGACACCAAATACTGCTGTTACGGCTCAGAGTTCCCATGTGTAAAGTGCTGTAAATGTAGTATCCAACTCAAAGAACTGTTCAGCAGGTTACATATTAGCATTACTGTGATGTGTTTCATTTAGAGCTACACACAGTAAATCCCCCACACTCCTGTTCTTAGAAACAAATTGAAAAGGAGTCACCTCTTCCACTGTGTTTCTGAGTGTTTCCTACACAGAAGAAAGGGGAAATTCCTATCCTAGAAACTGTATGGGAAGCTGTGGGAAAAAAACTCAGCATTTAAACAGAGTGCTGGATTTAAAACCACACATCCTCTAGCATGCCTAGAGAAAACCCATAAAAACTTGGGAACTTTTTCTTTTCTTTACTTTGTGTCTCAGTTACTCTTCCCTTGTTGCTGGGACAAATACCCAACACTCAGAATAAAGGAGGGAAAGGTTTATTTAGCTCACAGTTACTGGAGGTTTCAGTCCATATTCAGCTGGGTCCAAGGCAGAGCACAAAAAGCAGAAAGCAACCTTTCTTGACTGCAGCGAAGAGCAAGAGCACAAAAGGGGAAGTAGCAGTAGCTCAAGCCACTAGCATCTCTTCTCACCTTACATTGTAATGTAAATCACCTGCCCCAGGGCACGTGCAGCATCTACACCCACAGTAATCATCACAAACTCCAGAAGGTGCCCCAAGACTGCATGAGGATTTAGGGGGCCAACTAGACACTCACCATAACACCTTGTAAGGCATTTTTACTTGAACTCAGCTGCTATAGGACAGGGTGAAGGAAATAGGAAAATGTTCCTTATCTTCTTCACTTTAATTTTTATTTGAAACAAATGCTATAATCTAGAATCCAGGCTGACATATTTTTCTTGGCTTTTATTTCTATCCCCCCCCCTTGTTTATTTGTGAAAATCAGCATTAGGTTCACTGACACAAACTTAATTCTTTATGAAATCTCCCCAGGCATGAAAGTCTCATGTCAAAAGAAATTTCTCAAAAACATGAACTAAAAATTGTGTTTCAAAGAAGCACATGTTATGCCTCATGTCTTGATTTTTTTTTCATATAATTTATCTATTTTAAAGACAGCACAAATTAGAATTAAAACAGAAAAAATTACAAGTGATACAGAATTTCACTTAAACTAATATGAATTTCACTATGTCTTGTATTTTTGCTTAGCACTTTTTCCATGTCAAGGGATTTTCACATATATAGTCTCATTCTATGCTTGCTACTTGGAATATGTCAAGTTCTTTCCATTTTATCCCTGCCTCAGCTCATGTAAGGCTCTGTACCTCAGATGTTGACCTAGAACCCAAACTCACCTCTTTTTGCCTCTGTCTCAATGCACATTAGACAGTCAAGCATTCTGCTTCTGAGCTCCCGCCCAGCCCATGGCCAGCTTTATCTTGGATGCCTTTTTTTTTTTTTTTTTTAATGGTTAGTACATTGTGTATTGTTACTGCCAAAGTAGTTTCTCATATTACAAGATATAGGCAAGAAATAATAAGCAAATAACATAGGTACAAACCCCCCCTTTTTTTTTTAAAGTCAACAGAAAATGGAAATATACTTTTTAAAAGTTTCTAATACTAGGAGAAGATATCATACAATGTCTTTTTAAA